GGTATCTGACTGGAATCAGCCAAAGGCTATTTAAATACAAGCACTGCTTAACTCTTTCATCACAGATCATTTTGGCCCAGAGGGCTGACTACAGTGCCTCCATGTCCCCCCCAAGCCCAAGAGTCCTCACCTGGCTTCAGGACATCTGTGATGACTTCAGCTCTGACAGTCTTCCCTTCCCAAAGCTTCCCACTCCCCCTAGACAGCATTTGCAAATATATCTTGTCCTTTCTCATCCCTGTGGCAGAGCAACCAAATGAAATGCAAGGACTGTGGAGACAAAATCGAATTTAGCAACAAAATAAACAGCATGGGGGCTCTCTACTGATTAGATTACGCCATTTTATAATTTATGCATTAATTCCTCCCAAGATTTGAGATTCCCTGTCTCAGAAGGCCTGTATCCCTGCACTGCAGAGATGCAGATTCCAGGAACACCACTTTGATTGAAAGATCCAGCTTTCTATCAAGCAGATGAAACTCTGATTAACCCCAGAAGAGCTCCTCTTTGTTATGCACCATTGTCCCTCTCCCAGAGATACACAGCCCAGCACCTTTCCTTCCCACACTGAATCATTCTTCCCAAGTCCACTGGAGAACGTCAGACTGTGAAGCATCTGCCTGTACTAGCATCTGCTCCTAAGTCTGCTCTGAAATCAATTCTAGCATTAATAAGAGTTGTCAGCTACTGTAGCATATATATCCAGGAGCTGTTGTGTCCATATTCACAACTCCCTAGGACCATTTATTCCCGTCCCTTGCTACACGAGGAGCAGAGGTTGGGAGTTCAGCACATCCAAAAAGGAAGCCTAGAAGCCATGGTTAAACCTGTCTATTTAAAGCTGGATCTGCCAGGGCAAAAAAAAGAAACCTTCTGAGCCAAGGAGCCATACCACTCTCAGGAGAAACTAGAAACATTAAGAAACTGGAGGCAGAGAAGAGACAAGACATGCAAGGGAATGGCTGCTATGTCACCATACACAAATTGGCCTAATTATGTGTATAAATGCACCAATAGGCATGGATTTGCTGGCTGCATTCTTGACTTTAAATATTGATGCTTAGGAAGAGCTGAGATCAGGATATCTGCTGGTGGATTAGGCTACAGATTGCTCAGTCATTACCCATGGCTGGATCGCTTGCTTGGATTACCCTCCTCCAGAGAGCTTTGGGGCTTGAGCCTCTCACTGCCAGCTGAGGATTTGTTGTGTAGGTGATGGGCAAGGAAGCACTGCCCTACACCTAGGCAGTGCTGCATGCATGCCCAGGATGGGGAAGGAACTGAGTGCTGATCAGTGCAGGAGAGGACTGGTATCATGACAGAACTGATGACTCTGTAGAAATGAGGATGTATCCAAAAAAGGCAACAGCCAAGGGCAGAGAAAAAGTGTGTTTGGGGGTAGTGGGTGGCCACTGGGTGCCTGGGAGAATCCTTCTCGCATGCCCTGACCCAGCTCTCTCAGTTTCATCCATATCCCATTTTCTCCCATCCCATCCCATTCCATCCCATCCCATCCCATCCCATCCCATCCCATCCCATCCCATCCCATCCCATCCCATCCCATCCCATCCCACCTCCTCTACCAGACAAGGCTGGAACAAATGGACTCAGAAGCAGCTTTTTGTATTTTTTGCTTGTTGTTTTTTTTAGGTTTTTTTGGTTTTTTTTTTTTTAAATAAGAAATTTATTGCAAATATAGAAATTGATTTTCTCCATACAGGAATCTCCGAGTTGAGGAAAAACGATTTCGTGCCATTCAGTTTTAGAACAGGAAAAGAAGGAAAGAGAGAAAAAAAAGAAAGAAAAGAATGAGAAAGAAATACAAATCTAAAAGAAGAAAGAAAAAAAAAAAAAGAGAAGAAATAAAAGAACATAACTCCAACTCAAATTTGTCCATACACAACCGAGGGGGTCACAGGGTTGTTACGGAAGGAGGAACACCAAAGAGGCCAGTCCCAGTAGCTGCCTCCCAGGCCCTTCCTTACATTCAAGGCCTGATGCCCCCTTCTCTGTGCCTGGCAGCTGCCCGCCCCTTCCCACCCCCTCACCCCAGATGCTGTGCTTGTGGATGGACCAGTCGTACCAGCCCTGGAGGGTCTGGCCTGACCCGGATGGACTCTCCTTCCTCCTCCCCATGGGGAAGATGGAGAGCAGGCGGTGGGGACAGGCCACCCAAGAGCAAGGCCTCACAGTGGCGGTGGTAATTATGGGGGAGGCAAAGGCCAAGCCGAACGCGAGAGGATGGGGCATACAGAGGGGGATTGTAATGGGGGAAAAGGGGGACTTAACCCTGGCGGGGCAGGGAGGAGAGGGAGTGGGAGAAGTGGGAGAAGGAGAAGCTGGGCAGAGAATGCCCTATCTCCGCCCGGGGACTGGGGATGGGTTGGGGCAGCCCTGCAGAGAGCTGCCCTGGTGGGATGGTGCAGGGAGAGGTATGGAGACACCTCTCCAGGGCACACACCAGGGGCAGTCAAGGGGATACAGACCAAGAACACCCCTCACAGTACAAGGCCAAAGCTGGAAGGAAAGGGTTGGGAGTGCGTGCGTGTGTAGGGGGGACAAAACAGACACTCCCCTTTCCCCTTCCTTCGGGGAAAGACCCAAAACCATCTGTCTCATACAGCGTGGGCAGTGGGTGGCTGAGGTGGGCCAGGCTCTGCCAGCCCTACAAGATACCTCTGTAGCCCAGTGGAGGGTGGCACAGAGTGTTTGTCTCACACTGAGCCACCCTGAGAATGCTCCCTCCTGCTCAGATGGTGGGACAGCAGCAAGCTGGCTCCAGGAAGAGGACATGGCTCCATCAGCTCTTCTTGCCTGCGGCTTGTGCTGAAGGCGGTGGTGGTGGTGGTTGAAGGGACATTCTCCAAACTCCTGGAGACTGTGTGTCCTTCCCGATGCAGCTGAGCTTTCCTGTCAGCAACAAGCATGGCAAATGTGCTTTCGGGGCTCTGGGTCCAGCTCCTGCATGTGTGGCAGCTGCCCACCCTGTAGCACTGAGCTCTGCCCTACAGAGAGGGGTCACAGCTCATCAAGAAGTCCGCCCAGATTTCTTTCTCCAGGCACTGCTGACTAACTCCCCACCTTCTCTCAGAGAGCCTCAACCCCTGCGTTGAACCCTTGTTGTCCCTTTGTCCTCACTAGTCCCTTTACCATCCCATTCTTTCCACTGCGGCCATCTCTTCCCTGGGTCTTTCCAGCCTGTCCCTCTTCTCCACCTTCTCCATTTCCCTCTACCTGTTCCTCCTTGCCTCCCCACTCCTTGGTCTCACCACACCTTCTTCATCCCTGCTGCATCTGCCACTCCTCTCTCTCAGCTCCTTTTCCACCTTCCCTCCTGCATCTTCTGCTTCTTCCCTCAAGCCTGCCAGGAAGAGCCTCCTCCAGGAAGGCAGGCTGATTAGCATTGCAAACACACAGAGGCCTCCTCAGCCCGACATAATTCTTCATTTGTCAGTCATGAATATTTCACACCTGCCTCGAGAGGGATTTATTCAGTATGAAAGAGTGGGGAGGGGGAGAAGGGAACATGGCACCACAGCATAAGCTGGGGCAGCAACATCAGGTATGGGAAAGAGCTCTGCCCCATGAGAACAGCACACCTAAGGTCTCACCTTCGCTCTTCTGGATGCAGGACCCAAGCCAAGTCTTCCCCCCAAGGCTTTTCTTGGGGGTAGAGGGCAGGTCTGCACCCAACCTCATTCCTCACCCTTCACAATTTCCAGTGAGGTGAACTAAACCCCTGTTGTCCCTGCCAAGAGTCATCAAGCCAGAAATAAAGTGTGAAAGAGTCTGGTCCTGGTCCTTCCCCAGAAATCCACTTTGCCTTGGGAGAAGGCAGCATTAAGAGACTTGCCAAAGCCAAGCCATAGAGGGCTTAGAAACTTCAGACAGTCTCTCCATACTTTTTCCCAACAAAGAGGCTTTTCAGGTTTCATCATGCCCTGTTCTCTGCCAGGGCAAACCAGGGCAGAGAATGGGTAGGGCAAACTTAATGCAGAGCTCCATGCAATCAATGAGAGGAAGGTGGTGGAAGGTCTTCTAAGTGATTGTAACCAGCTCCACATCAAGTTTTTACCGTATCAGAGGTTTCCCTGCAGCTGAAGCATTCCTTGTTTCCCCCAAGAATAACCTTGCTTGTAGATTTCAGGAAAGAACAACCAGGGCACAGGGATGGTAGTGACCATTTCTCTTATGAGATCTATCTTGATGGGCCTCACTCCTGTTTCTCAACAACTGGGAGAAAAGACGGCCACTAGAAAGAGCAGGCCTTTGGTATATAACATCCCCCTTTATGCACATGACCCTGAAAAGCAGCTGAGAAACCACATTTGGGGCAAGGGGAGGGAGACCCCGGAAAGAAGAAGGAAAAGGTTTTATGGGGCTGATTGGGTTGGGTTCTCTTTGGGGCATGTTCCCTCCCAAACTGATAGGAGCGTCTCATAAAATCACATCAGGGATGAATGAAAGGAGCAGGGAAAACAGGGACAAGGACAGGAGAGACTTTGAGGAAGGAGGTTAAATTCCAACAAACTGGCACATACACAACAGGTGTTTGCTCAGAAAAATACAGTAAAATCATCATGCAAATAGAACGTTAAATCTGCTTTCCTCCGACAGGGCTGGCATCACTTTGTGAGCCCTCGTCCCTGGGGAAGGAGCAGGACAAAGAAGAAGGGAGGAGGAAGGAAGGTGAGACACTTTGTTTCCCTTCCTTGCCCTCTTCCTCCCACAGAACAGTCCATCTTGTGCAAACTTCATCCACTGGTTTGGAGTGGGGTGCTACAACTGGGAGAGAAATGGCTTGTCCCCCCTATCCAGCCTCACCCCTACCACAGGAAAAAGAAGGGCCTGATGATAGCTGTATCCCTGACCTTTCTTTTCTGCCTCGTTGAGGTGATAGGGAGAGGGAGCAGAAACCTTTACAGGTCAATGCTCCTCCCTAAAGTATTGATTGAGCAGAACTGTTTACAAGACCATACAGCAGAGAAGCACAGGGAGAGGAACAAGACTCCATCCCCCCTTGCCTGCCATCCTCCTTTTCCTGTCCAGTTCTGTGCCCTAACCAATAGTCTTTTCTGCTTGGATGGTTACCATGCTGGAAGACCACTGGGCTTGCTCCAAGTGGTAGATGGAGAGGTTCTGCTGTGCCTAAGCATCTCTCACAGCATTTACCTGTCTTGATTTGCTGCATGATCCCAACATGGAGGGACACCTGGTAGCAGTGACGTGACTTCCATTTGTGACTTCCCTTCATCCTTCTGCACACGCACACAGACACACATATGTGTGCACTCACACCCTTTCCTCTGGGTTGGACTGGCTCTTACTGTGTGGAGTCAGTACCATGGACACCTCTGGACTCAAGGCAAAATGATGCTTTTACTGTGGGGAAGCAGGCTGACAGTGAAGGAGTCTGAGGCAATGGGATCAGGACCTGGCTTAGGATTGTTACCATCAGCATCCCTACAAAGAAGAAACACCACAGATCTTCACATGTTTTGACTTTTGGGATACCCCCTCTGGTTTTCCGTATCAGGATCTGCATGACATCCTGTATTACTGAAAAGGAGTCTCTGCCTACTGCTGTTCCTCATTTACAGAAGGCAAAATGATATCACCAGTGGCATAGAAACCAGCTGTCACAGCTGGCAGTGCTACTACCTGACAGATAACAGGTAAGTTCTCTGTACACAGCATGTAAATCCCTCCCAGAGAAGCTCCTACACCCTCATTCTTCTCCCAGGCCCCCAAAAACACTGGGGCTTCTGAGGAGCACCTCAAAGAGGAAATAACCACTTAGGGAGGGCCAACAAAGGAGAGGCCCTCATCCTTATCTGGATAGAGGTGAACAACTGTCAGGTGTAGGGCAGATCATGGAGAGGAGGCCCGCTGTGCTGCATAAAGACATGCTTAACAGGCAGCACCCCTGCCTGACAACAAAACTTTGGGGGAGATGGTGCCAAGATTGTGCTTTCTTGGGCTGCTTAGAAATGGGACTAGGTAGAGAGGGCAGTATGCTCATTTCCAACTCTGTAGCAGATCTTCTATCCAAGGGACAGAGGCTGGGACCTAACAAGTGAAACTGGGGTTTTGCCAAGATGCGAAACGATCCCTAAGAAAAGTTCGTAACACCTAACTGTGAGGAAGTGGAGAAGTTAGGAAGCGGTATGTTGCTCTGACTCTCATGAGGGCCTCTAAGCAGTCAAAGCAACACTGCCATCTACCAGAGGCTGGTGTCCTCTTCTATCCTGGCACACAAAGTGTGGCTGAACACACAGGGAGCTTCTACCAGGGCCATCTTTCTGGGGCTACACCCAGGCCTTATTGTCACATCCCATTTGTTTCCTGTGCCCCTGTCTTCACCCTAGGCTGTCTCCTATCCATACCAGGATGTCCATGGCCTAAGAGGAAGACTTTCTGTGAGGCCAACCCAGTGAGGTGAGCAACTGAAATCCTATTCTTCACATCCACGAGGAAGTGAGGAGGTTGGGTGATGCTCTTCTCATGTACACCTACCCACCCACCCCAGAGCCCATGGTGCAAGTCAGTTGGGAAGAGCTGCAGAAACTTCATGTAGAACTTGTTCTGCTGAGCTCCTCTCCAGGTCCCTTCCTCATAGTAAGGGGGACATGAACAGAGAGTATTAAACTTACTGCACAAGGGCAGCCTGAGCATAGGTGTGTATGGTGGGGAGCATCTCTGACCTGTGACATTCATGGAGAGATGGGAACCCTTTATATCTCTGAGAGACCAGACCTTCCTACATTTTCCTCCACCACTCCTTGAGGAGCTGGCTTGCCATAATGAAGAGAACATTCATAACCCTTTCCCCCCCACCAACTAGCAGAAAACTGGCTCTGAGCAGGCCTGGAGAATGCCTGTCACTCCAGAATTGCTGGTGTTCAACAGCAGCAACATGGCATGAGAAGGGAAGGAGGAGGAACGGCAAGGGCACAGAGCCTATCATATGGCAGGTCCTACCTCCCTTGTTCCTTCACATGTCCTCTCCTTCCTCTGAGGAGGATGGAGGTTCATGAAGTACCTAGACAGAAAGTGCAAGCCTAGGGAGCCTTAATAGAGAGGGGTAGGAAAGGTCAAAGGAAAAAGAGTGAGAGAACATCTTCCAACAAATTCCACCTGTCTTGGAAGGGGATGGGAGAGAGAGAAAAGCCTCCACTGCCGAAGAAAATGAGGGAAAAGTTAGTGATGGAAGATTTGGAATAGCAGGCGTATCAGGTAGACAGGGAAGCTTTCTAAACCAAAGTCCTGCCCTCCTACCCAAAAGCAAAAATCAGCCCACAACAGGAACAGAAAGAGGAATAGTTCACAGCTGAGTTTCGTGCCCAGTGAGTGTCCATTCCTGCCCTTCCCCTGCCACCACCACCACCCACTCCCAGGCCATTCCCACCCACTCACACTCCAATATTGTTACCACAGTGTTAGAGCAGGACGCTCCTCCCAACCATCTGCAGGCAGAACAATGGTCCCCGTAACACAGTAGAGACAATTCGGCGTGTGTGTGTGTGTGTGTCTGTGTGTGAGAGAGTTTTCTGTTGTTGTTGTAAACTTTAAGAAAAGATTTTGTCAGTTTTGTATTTGTCAGGAGTATTTTGCTGTTGGTTTATTTTTCACAGTCAAGTGGCTTATTTTTCTGGTTCTTGGAGGGGGGTCTTGGTTTGTATTGTTTCCTTGTGAGGAAGAGTCACAGCTTCTGCTGAGCAGAGACTCCTTTCCAGTAATCCAGGATGTCATGCAGATCCTCGTCCTTGGCAAATTGAACTTTCTTCCGCAGGGCATGCCCAGCTGCCATGTAAACCTCCTCCCTGTGATGCTTCTTGTAAGGCCGGAATCGTTCCCAGATCTTGTGGGTGCTCTCTGATGAATACTCAGGGCTGGAGGAGTAGCCTGAGAAGTAGTGTCTGGGGGAGAGCTGGGAGTATGTTGAGTCTCGCTTGGACCGGGAGAGTGGCTTGAGGAATGACACCCGCTGGCTCAGGGTGTCAGCACTTTCCTCATAGTACAGGGCCGGGAAGGAGTGACGGTGCTCACTACAGTGGTAAGAAGGCTTGACCTCCAAGTGGTGGATGGCGCTCGGAGACACCAAGGGAAGACGATCCAAAGGGCTGTTAAGTGGGCTGCCCTTCTCAATGTATTTGGAGTCAGACTTGCTGAGTGGTGGGTGGTCAGGCACATCCAAGCTGAAGACCTTGGCGCTCTTGATGGAACCACTAGAGGAGACACTGCAGGTCTTTCTGGCCACAGCAGCATCAGCACTAAGCTGGCGCTGCAAGGGGTGGTGGGAGCTTTCCTTGTAGGGTGGGGAAAGAAAGCTGGGCCGCTCTAGCCCACTTGAGGAACCAGCTGGGATGGACTGGCATTCAAAGGCCATGTCTGAGTCAACACCAGTCCCGCCACCCAGAAAGGTCGCTGTGTCCAGCTTGAGGGCATCAATACAGTTGTTGATGATCTGGTTGACCTTGTCTACCTCCTTGGCTATAGTAGAGATCTCAGCAGCTGAGCCTTGCCCATTGTCAAGCTCCCTCAGGTCCTCATCCCGCTGGGCTCTCTCCAGCCCATCCCCACCACCAGTCCGCACCTCAATGTAGTTACCTTTAGTAGTGACTTTAGGAGTCTCCATCCCAGTTTCTATTGACTTTGATGGGGGCAACTTCTCCCCAATCATGGAAGGGATGGAGGACATCCGTGAGACAGGAATGACAGGCGGCTCACCCAGCTTCTGGGAAGGATGGACCATGGTACTGGTATCAATATCTGATCCATAACGCATTTCCAGAATGGTCTTTTTGACATTGAGGGACTTCTGTTTCTCCTCCTGCATCCTCCGCTTTCGCAGGCAGTAGTACACCACCCCCAGGACAATGACCATCCCAAAGAGGCAACCCAGGGTGGTCATGATATAGTGTGTGGTGGTGGAAGTACTGGAAATAGGGTCCTCCCTGCCTTTGCTTCGGGTTGCAAAGGTCAGACAAGTATGGTTGTAACGCCTGTTGTTGCGGATAGAGGCCACACAGAATGTATAATCAGTGTGGGCCTTCAGCTTGTTGACAGTGACATATTCCTTCTTGCTCTTCAGTGTTGCTATGTCAGAAACGTAGCTGTTGTTGTATTGGACCAGCACATACATCTTACTGTAGGGCATGGGGATGGTTACCATCAGAATGGCTGAAGTGATGGTGACGTCATGTAGCTTGATGCTGGGACTGAATGAGGAGTCAGTGGTGGAGGAGGCTGGAGGCTTGACGGAGAGGAAGTCCCCAGGGCTGATGGCTGAGCCCTCATCCAGATCTCGCTGGGAGTCAGGGGTATAAGGAGTGGGGTTGACCCTGGAGAGGGAGGGAATGGTGCCACCTCTGCACATGGACTGGAAGATGGTGATGGCATTGCGGTTGTGGTGAGGACGGGGTACCAGGAGCGGATACCCAGCAAACTCCCGTGGAGTCTCACACTGGAGGCGGTCATAGTTCTTGGTGACGTTATTGAAGAGAGCCAGCCAGTTAAGAAAGCTGTAGAGGCTACAGTCACAGTTGAAGGGGTTGCCAGCCAGCTCACACACCATCAGATTGCTCAAGCTGGTGAAAGTGTTCCCCTCCAGACGGCTGAGACGGTTAGATGACAGGTCAATGCTAATCAAGCTGGGGCATTCATTGAAGGCAGTAGGGGTGACCAGCTCAATTAGGTTGTGCTGCACGAAGAGGAACTGGAGACGGGCCATGCCCCGCAACATGCCCTCTGTCAGGTTAGTGAGTTTGTTGTAGCCCAGCTGTAAAACCTGGAGGTTTGACTGGCCCATGAAAGCCCCATCCTCAATGTAGGAGATCTCATTCTTGGTCAGGTTCAAATCAGTCAGGTTGCCGAAGCGGTTGAGGGAGGAGTACAGCACCACTTTGAGCTTATTCTCGTTCAGACGCAAGTCGTGCACCGTACTGTTGATATGTTGGGGGATTGTCTCATATGGAGGCTGGTTCTGGCTGCAGATAGCCAGCCACACGTAACCTTTGTCCCCCTCAATCAGCCAGCAGTCACCTCGTACAGTGCCAGGGGAAAACAAGCAGAGCAGAGCAGCTGCCCACAACCCCAGGCACAGCATGGTCTGCAGTGGTGCCCTCATCAGGACGGGGAAAAAAATCCCCAACAAAAAACTCAGGACCACAGCAAAAGGAAACTAAGGGGCAGTAGCTGGGGTTTAGCAATGGAAGGGCATGAGCACCCCAGTCCTATCGGGTGTCATCACCATTATTTCTTCTTGCCCTCTGGGTCAAGCCACGAGCATGGAGGAGGGGGAACACATGCAATCTTCTTCCAGAACACCCAAAATCTATGACCATGGATGTTTGGTCTGGAAGGGAACTACTTTGTGCTTCTTTTCTAAATAAAATTTCAGGCCGAGGATAATAAATCTTCTTTGATGCTCATGAGCGACTCACATAGCTTTTCCACTTTTCTCCCTCCCACCCACCCCCCACCCACACTGAACCCACCCCAAAACAAACACAAGTCCTCCCTCTGCTCTAGTCTTCCCCCGCCCCTTCACAGTGTGATCTGGATGAACAAGGCAGGGCTGCCTCTTCTGCTGCTCACGCTCCTTCAGTTTCTATTCCTTCTCTTCCTTCTTTACCGGGTTCCCTTTGAGAAGCTTCAGAGCTTCAGATCAAACATGTCGAAAACAAAAATAAAGAGAGGGAAAGAGCAAGTGCGCACGAGAAAAGATCCATCTGTCACTGGAATCTGGAAAAGAAAACACAGGGGAGACAAGAGGAGACATCAGTTGGAAGGGTCTTTGAGATAAGAGGATA